TATGTTTAACAAATATATAGTAAAAATAACATTTTTTTTTTAAACAGATCTTGACAGAGATTCTAATTTTTTTGTATAAATAAAAGTAAATATTATATTTTATTACCATACAGTCACAAAAAATTTATTAGTAAATATATTTGACATACCCGAGTCACAACGAGTGCCCACTTAAAAGCTTTTAACAGACTAATAAACTGGGATCCGTTTGACCCAGTTCTCCTATAACACCATTGAATAATCTTTCTTTCTCTTTTCTAGTTTAAAATCGACCATTCGATACGTTCTTTGGATATTTTTTGTTTCATATTTTCGTTTAAAAACTGAAAGGCAATCCTTTCTTCTGTTTGAAAGTTTAAAAAAAAAATATCTATAAACAAAACTAATAAAATATATATATATATATATATATATATAAAAGCAATACCAAACAATATAATTAAAAAGCTCTCAAACGTTAAAGGACACTTGGAAGACCACGTTGTTCCGTCGGAAAGGTTAAATGTCATCAATGGAGTAAAAGTCAACCGGAATGGAATATTCAGATTTCTTACTCTCTTCTACCAAAAGTTCTCTTTAATTTTATTATTTATGCAAGTGCAATAATAATTTATGAAGCGTTTCACGGATAGTGGAGGTAAATTAATTTTAATGTACACGACCAAGACAATTACGAGCACATTAAAATTTATGGCACTTCTGTAAAAGTCAGTAAATGTCACATGATAACTCGTTAAATTATTTTTCTTTCTATTTCGTCGGACGGCACTATCTAATCAGAAAAGCAACACGGCCTCATGGAACACATGTTCCCTAATGGTAAGATAACACGTGTCTCCTTTGTAAGGCAAAGAAATGTGTGTGGAATCAGTTTGTACCAATTTTTTTTTCTCTAGATAATGTAAAACTTCAACGTTATTTGATACTGTAAAACATTAATCTATAAACATATAGTTCGTATTACAGAGACATTTTTATCAAATTAATTTTTATTTACGAAAACTCTTGCAATTGCGGCATTTTCAATCAGAAGATCGGCAAACATCGTCTATCTAATTAGGTACTAAAAACTCGTAAATACACATTTGCTTTCCACATGGATCGTAAATAATTTGATCACAAAATCGAGAAAAAAAGGTTGTTCACAAAACTATCGCACCTTTTAACGTGATTTAGCCGCAACATTATAAAATAACCAGGTTATATAGGCCAAACGGCCCAATGTTTTTGTAGGACGCCTTTTTTGCTCAATTTTGTAATCAAATCATCTTAAGATCAAAGTGGAAAGCAAATGGGTATATATGAGTTTTTAGTACCTAAAAATATTTGTTTCTTCAAGCTCTATCTCCGTTAAGATCCCTTACTTCTTCGGCAATTAATTATCGAATTCTTTCATATTTTATATCTACCCATTATTTATATCATATTATAGTGTGAAATGGTTAATTATTTGTGAAATGCCTTGTTTTTCCGTTGAAATCTCGGATTCGAAAATGTTCACGAACGCAATACTTTATCTTACTATATATAGTTAAGTCCAAATAAAACAATAATTAAGCCCAAAAATAAACCACTTATATTAAATTATATTTTAAAAAATTAATTCATATTCTACATCTTTTGAATAAACTGAAGTCAAAAGTAATTGTCTTGCAAAATCTAGACGCTTGCAAAAAAAAAAAAAAAAAAATCCTGTTTCTACAAACCTTATTTTATTCTACTCTTAACTTAATCTTACTTAACATCATAATATTACTTTTGTATTAATAGTTTTTAAAAAAATAACCTTATCGTTATTTGGTACTATGCACTTCTTCTTCATATGAATATAAACATATTAAATTTTCAATAATGACATAATATTTAATATAATTGGTTATATTGAAAAATAATTATATAATTAGTGACAGTGTATTATTTTATCGGACGTTTAGAGTAAGTCATTTAGATAGTTCGATATATACTTAAACCTTTCTAGCCGATCATAATCAACATATAGGAAGTTATTTAATAATAATGGTAATTATTACTAAGCAGATAACAAATAAAGAAAGTATGAAGCGTAAAATATTTATTTATATGCTATGAAGGATGTGCTGATCTATAAACAATTGAAATAAAAAAAAAATAATTTACGTGAAACCTTAGTAATTAAGTGAATACAGAATATATATTCGGATATTTTTTCATTTTTAAATAATATGAGACTGTCATTCATTAATGTTGTTTAAATATTACCAGTATGTTACTAACTTATTATACTATTTTATAAAAAATATTACTATATAGTTAAGTCCAAATAAAACAATAATTAAGCCCAAATATATGTATAAAATGTATAGATAGCAAATGTTTTGGAAATCGTTGCTGAATAGAGATTTATATAATTAGAAAATTAGCATGACAAATATGCTTGGTTAAATTATAGATATAAATGAAACATTATCAATCAGGACTGCGGTATTGACCCGATTAAATATATCTAGCCAAATTAGATTGGGGATTTCAGCGAATATTAAATTTTGAAATTAGTGTAAACAAATATACAACGAAATATGTTGAAAATCCAATGATGCGTATTCTATGTATTCACTTATGAATTTCCAATGATTTAATTTTAAAAAATAATATGTCCAGAGCAATAAACGTATAAAATAAAAACGTGATGTTAGGTTCCCCGAAGGTGTGAATGAACTTTAGAAATTTTTTATTAATTTGTTAAATCTTTTATTATTGTTTTTTAATTATTGGGTTTACCTTTAATTTGTGATGCCATATACATATATACCTTTTTTTACTTTTATCAGTATACTTTCTTTGCTACTAACTATTATTTTATATTTTCAATTACTTTATTTAATTTTTTATTATTTTATTTATTGTATTTTTTACTTATTTATTTATTATTATTATTTTATTATTTATTTACCATTCTTAATAAATTTCATTTATTTTTCTTGTATGTATATATTGTATGAGTGGATATCACCAGCTGTATTGCTTATTACCCTTGAATGTGGCAGATTGCGTTAATATTCAATACATAAAAAAAAATATATTTCTGACAAAATGTAATTTAAAGAATGGTATTTGATTTTCAGCATTTGGTGATATTATAGTTTACTCATAACCACTTCTATGTTATGTAGGAATATAAAATTTGATGTAATGAAAAAGTTTTCATCCACAAGAGCCACGACTCAATTAAAACATGAAAGGGAGTGTTCAAGGAAACCCAACCCCGGGAGGTTCCATCCACTGAAGAAATAAAAAGGGTGGGGAGGGGGGTGAGAGAGAGGGGGGGAGGAGGTTCACTATTATGCACTTCTGGGAATCCTCGTTGAATAATTTCATAGGGAGAGCCAGCCGCGAATCTGGGAACGCTGTAACAGTTCAGGGAAAACTCGGCAAGTTCCGCTGAACCACTCCCCGATTTTCAGGACTGCTACCGGGAACCTTCTGGAAACAAACCCGGGGGTTTTCCGCTGTACGATCGATAAAACGAAAGATTAAAGTATCAAAGCTTCAAGTTTTAGAAGTTCGTCACAAGCCAGGATATTAGAGCTATACAGAACAATCAAGCCCGTTTATAAAGTATAATAAATAAAGATGGAAGTTCTCATGTAACGCTGATATAATGAAACATGTAACAAGTAGCGATGGAAAGGAGATAAATTGTAGAGTATGAAAATATGCTATCGACTCGGAAGCATCAACTTCAATGGGGGGATAACATTCCTTATGACCTTGTCATTCTGTAGGATTTAATGGAAGCTGTTTGGAATGGTATTTCTACTCTTTTTTTTTAATTAATACTAATCGATAATTCTATAAAAAAGTAATTGATAACTATAATTAAATTTTTTATAGCGGATTGATGGTTGATTGTAGTGAATAATTGAAGAGAAGTTGGTTGGGAAGTTCAGTAAAAATAAATGAATAAATAAATATGATTTATTTATTTTAATTTTTTTTGTATTTTTTTTTACTGATCCCCCCAACCAACTTCTCTTCAATAAAATTTTGCTTTAAAAAAACATTAATACCATAATTTGATATGGGGAAAAAAAGTCGAGGTATTACTTCCAAATAGATAACTAATATTGTCAAGCATAAACTATTTTTTTTTTATTTCAGCCGTTAACATAATTATTCCAAAACATTAAATATTTTTAATGATGTAGAGATGGTTGACCGTTGATATAATATGAGAAGGAGTTAATCGGGGGGTGTGGTCAAATTAAACACTAAATTAAATAAGTAGAATTATTTAATTTTTGCCGACGTTTCGACCCACTTTGTAGGTCTTCATCAGGGCTACAAAAGATACAAAACATAGTGAATTCATTTAAATTCATTTATTTTCACTATGTTTTGTATCTTTTGTAGCCCTGATGAAGACCTACAAAGTGGGTCGAAACGTCGGCAAAAATTAAATAATTCTACTTATTTAATTTAGTATTAATTTGACCGCACCCCCCGATAACTCCTTCTCATATTAAATATTTTTCATTCTTTCATTTTTCGAATCTAAAGTATTGTATGGTAACGTAGATTTCCAAGTATCATCCAGGTGGAGTCAATGTGTGCCAAATCTCAGAACATCAGGTTGATGACAAAAGTTCAAAATATCTAGGATATTTACATAATAATTTCAAGCTATAAAATTAATAATAAAATTTAAATTCATTTATAAAAAAATATATAAGTAGTTGAATTTTTAAACACCGATAATTTTATGCTAAAATGGAAAACTTTCTTGTGTAGAAGATATCTATTTTGAAAAAATGGGAATAATCTTAATATGAGACACAACGTTATCTCAGGTTATTTTAATGCAATAACAAATCTGGTTTCTATACTGAAATAGGAGGAAAAATAGAAATGTTTAAAATAATAAAAAAAAATGGCCACTCCATGAACTAGTGGATTCCACAAACCACTGATTTATGTATCTTTTTAAATCATTTTTTGAAAATTAAATTATTTCTGATACTCACCAAGGATGAGATGCAGCTTGGCATCAGTCTGGAAGGCATAATGGAGCGTGACCAAGAAGGGACATCTTCGGACTGCTTCAAGAACTTGCCGTTCTGTCTTGGTGTGCTCCGTCGTCTTCTTCTTCTGGACTATGGTCGCCTTCTTGAGGACTTTCATCGCGTAGAGGCGTCCGTCATCCTTTCCTCCCCTTTTTCGGACAAGGAATACCTTCCCATAAGCTGGAAAAAAAAACAAGAATAATCAATACATACAATTCCCTAAATGGAATTAAGCTTATAAAACACTATACTCAAATAATATAAGAATATTTGGCTAAGTATTTCTAAAACAACTGGCGAGACTGGCTAAGTATCCGAAATCACGGGCATACAATGCTTTGATTGGGGAAAAACATGTCATTCTTAAATATGTACTGTAGTTTTAAACTTGAACGGATTTTTTAAATTTAGCAGTCTATAGCTTTGCAATCTGAAAGTAATCTAACAAATTCAAAAGTTGTAGTATTAAAAAATTAAAGGAAACGAAAGAGCAATGAATAATAATCATTAAGAACAGATCAATTGAGATAAAAAATAGATAGAAATAAATAGCTGAGGTTAGTACAAAGCAGGAAATTGCCACAGAATCAACATTTGAAAACAAGAAAACTGTCAAACTGAAATTGTATAACCAAAAGGGGTTTAATCGACACTTTTTGGGGCAAAATAAACGATGTAGCTAAGAAGATATAATATTAGGAGGAAAAAACAACAACAAAACGTTGAAAATATTTTAGTACTGTCATAATAACTTGTTGATGAGAAGGAAAAAATATTTGAAAAAAAAAATTGTTTTCTTAAATCCAAAAATATATTTGGCTAAACTAAATCAATACAAAAAAAAAAAAAAAATAACCATTATTGAATTTATGATTATTTCAATAAACACGAAATTAATAATTTTATGCGTTCAATACATGTGTTTTTTATGCGTTTTGAAATTATCAATAAATTCACTAAGTAAACTTTTTTTTTTCTTTTAATTCTGAAAACCAGCTAGGGCAGTCAATAATAATAAAATTTTATTATAAGGCAATGAAAATGTGTTACAACGTAATAAATTGGATCTTATACTCTCTATGTTCACAAAGTTAGTGGGCGATATACCACAGAAGACTAGGTCAGTCATTTTATATAAAACTGCAATACAAACATAATTCCCAACGAGCCATGTGCACTGAGGTGAGAAAGTTTGTTTCCGAGCAAATCTGAAATTCATGAGTAACTTTCGGTGCTTATGAAAGCTTCAATAATTATGATTTATCACGTGAGCCCCGGGTTAATAAAGCCCCGACACTTAAACGAAGAGTAATAAAACTTAAATATCCATCTGGTGGGAGGGGGGGGGGGGAGTATCAGGGCATAAAAAGCTTAAATTATTAAATGCTCATTTCCACTTGGGTCAGTATTGATCCCTCTACATATTTCACTATTACCATTTTGCTTAAGCCAAACTTTATTATTCTCTTGTTATTATTTCAACAATGTTAATTGAAATGAGAGCTGTATTCCAAATTTCAACTGCTAATTACAAATTTAATTAGTGTCATAAAATTCATCAAGTCTTAAATGATTTGATATTTTTTAAATTAGTAATTTCTTAATTAACTATTGTGAGCTATAAACTACCAATTACGAATATTAATTAAGATTATTATAAAATTTGTCTAAGAAATATTAAATATTATATAATGTAATAATTTTTATGTTAAATTTTAATCCAAATATTTTCTTCATTAAACCTATTTATTTTTATAAAATTTTGTTATTACATGACCTGACTAATTTACGTTGAATTATTCCCTATAGGAAGAGTTTAGAAGTTTAGGATTGTTTTTATGAAAATAACTTTTTTTTATATAATAATATAATTATATATAACACTTTTTTATCACGATAAATTTTAAAAATAAATAAATGATAAATTTCTAAAAACGAACTGCGTCCTAAATTCATTGGAGTCATAAAATTCATTAAGTCTCAAATTATTTTTTATTTGGTCTGAGAGATTATTCAATCGAATATAATATAAAACAGGAAACAATATCATTTACTACAATACGTATTTTAAAATTTATTATTACAATTATTGATAGATCTTACTTTTATTAACTAAATAATTGATATTGCTTACTTTATTTTATTAATTTAGTAATGATTTGATTAACAAATTAATTATTGATTATATATAATAATATAAAACAGTTTTTTTTCTAACCTCTAACGGTTGCATTGAACAAATACATAATGTACATATACATCATGGGCGGATCTACGGGGGAGGGGGAGGAATTTCGGAGCTGAAGCCCCCCAAAATGGTAAAATACAACCATGTTTTATGAAAAAAGATGTTGGTGTAATTACAATTAAAAGGACTTTAGGAATCACCATTTCATATAGGTAGTTAATTTCTTTCTTTTTTTTTCCAAAGTAATTATCGTTATTTTTATGAAAACAAAAAGCTTTCGGGCTAGAGCCACCCTCCCCCCCCAAAAAAAAAAATTAAATCGTGGATCCGCAAGTGATATACATCCTTTTCTCACTTTTTCCCTCCATAAAAAAAAATATATCCCGCTAAATGGAATCATTGAAAAACAAGCGTTTACATTAAACTAAAAGTTTTAATAACTTTTACACACTTTATTAACATTTAAAATATATCAAAAAATCAATTATAATAAAAATGTAATTTTAATTAGTTATATTTTTTAATATTTTAACGTCTATCGACGAAAACATTAGATGCATTAAAAAGACATAAATTAAATCCTGGGGGAAAGGGTTCAGGTATTCATCTTAAAATAGCTTGAGGAAGGCTTTGAGTACTTTTAAAATTAACTTTTGATTTCATGGCATTCGATATACAAGTATGTATTTATTGAAAGGATTCCGGCTGTAACGCCACATCTCCGTCACAATGGTTGATGTACACGGTTGTCTGTCCGTCTTAAAACAGTGCTTGAGGTTGCCCATGTCAAGAATTTTGTTTGCAATGCAATGTCCGGGAGATATTTACGGAAAGGCCAAACGCATGAAGACTGCTGCCAATGTCCACTTGGAGTATATCTAACGATACATCTTTATATAGACACTATACCTGTTATATTTCAGGTCATTGTTTGAAAATTTAAAAAAATAAATAAATAATAGAAACGTAAAATTTAAGGAAAAGAATCGACTTATGATGAAGACTGATAAATCGGGATGGCTGCGAGAATGATATTGTCGGACGGAAATAACCGGACCTCTGCAATCCTGGGATACACGTGCTCAAGGAATCTTTCAATTCAATTTACGTCCTCAGCTCGTGCTCGGGACTGTGGCGCGTGGAGAAGTTTGTTCTCAGAGGCGTGCCTTTTAACACAACACTTCGGTTCCTACTTGATAGTCGAAAATTAATCAACACACCACTTAACATAATTGGGAATCTAGAGAGAGACCTATTGGAAGTAATCAGAAATAATTTTAATTTTGTGATCGTAGCTTTATAGAAACGCTTTAAGAGGATTATCTCATTTGTCTTATGATCCAATGTTCTATGGTATAAATTTTTTAATACCTGTTGAAAACATATATATTTCATGTATATATAGACTGAATGGGCCACCTTTCCAATATGTAAAAGATGTCGGAATGTCTAAATAATGCGAGAACAAAAAAAAACATTATGGGTTAGATCTTTGTTGCATAAGTATGGCCAATTAAATATGCTCGATTTTTTTTCTTTTTTTTTGTGTTGAATCAATTAAAAAAAAAAAAGCAAATAAAACCTCATTACATAAAATCTTTACATAACAAAGTATATGTAGGAGTTCCGGCAATGTCCAGATTCTGCACTCAAGACATGTGCATATGTGGCAAATGCACTTTCGTTCAACCCATACTGGCTTTAAACAGTCAAGTGATTAAGAAGCGCTAAGATCTCTAGGGGTCTAGCTTTTCCATTCATGAGTGTGAGGACTATCTTGGTTCGGAATTCCCTTGGCTTATTATTAATGATGTATATAAGACTACCGGTATTTGAGATTCTTTTTACTTTATTTTGTAATAAATTTATTAATTTAATTTAATTTACTTAACTTATAATAAATCAGAATAATAAGCGGAAAATGAAAAATAAGTTTGTTTTTGTTGCTGTCTTTTACATTTATATTAACCGTAATATGGCGTGAATTGTTATTATTTTTTTTTCCTTTTAGTAAAATAAAAAATTTAAAAAAAAAAGGAGATCTGAATTAAAATACACTAAAGAGCGTCAATAAATTATTCATCTCCTACTCACGATAATATAATAGAAGATTATTTCTAATCTGTTTTATCAGTTTTATCGTTCCTCGAGATAAAAACGTATAGCAGAATCCTCTGTTTTTAGAGAACCTACACAACAAATAGATTCTGTTCGATGATGATTATTGAAATGCGAGGACATTTAATTATTTTTGGGCAACTCAATTAAATGGCGCACGTATCACAGCTAAATGAAGAACACAAACTAACCATTTCAACTGTTTGGGCTTTTCTAAAATTCATACTTCCATTGCACTTTTTTTCAATAAAAGCTGTATTTAAAAAAAAAAAAAATGTTTAAGATTCCATTATTGCAATTACTCTATATGGAGTTTTAAAATAATACTAGATCTATATCTAAATAAAATTTATGAAATACTTTTGTAGCAAAAAAAAAAAATAATAATAATAATAATAAAAACTTAGACTAATAAGTCTAAAACTTAGACACAGAACCCACTTCCGAAGATTTTTTATTTTCAATTATCTCAAATCAATTATTTGATCATTATTTTATTTATCAAATATATTCATTCATTGAATTAGAATAAAGAAATCAATTCGAATATACGCTTCACAAGTAATTCAAATTTAAAAAAAAAAGTAAAATAATATAAAAAAAAATATATACAACCACTCAAGCACCTTGGTATGTAAACGAAAAAAACATTACATAAATTTACACATGGCAACTCTCAACAAATCTATACGAATTCATAACTAATTAATATTACATTAAGCTTAAGAATGGGGCTTAAATATTATTTAAATACGGGGCCACGAAGGCTTAAATACGACAAGGCCACGAAATACTACCAATTAAAGATTCTTTATCGAGCACCTTCGGTGGACTGAGAAGAAGCTGGAGGAAGGATGTTAATTAACAAGAAACAGA